CCATCCTTAAGTCTCTGCACACCTCAGGTATCATGTAAGGGTCAGTATGTCCATCCTTAAGTCTGTGCACACCATGGGTATCATGTAAGGGTCAGTATGTCCATCCTTAAATCTGCACACCATGGGTATCAATGTAATGATTAAAGCCACAAACAAAATATACTAGCATCTATCTGTAAATATCTGGGTTAATTTTAGATAGTTCTGTTGTATGTAACCACTTTATATACTTGTCATCAATAATTAACACAAAATGTTTCATGATACATCATAGGTTTCTGCATCTATCTCTGTAAATATCTGGGTTAATTTTAGATAGTTCTGTTGTATGTAACCACTTTATATACTTGTCATCAATAATTAACACAAAACGTTTCATGATACATCATAGGTTTCTTTTTATGTAATGCTATGAAGTTTTGGGAACTGTGTGTCAGTAGGTTTTAAACATTTCACATTGTTTATAACACTTTCATTAATTCCAGTTGTCTTCTGAGTTATCACAGGTTCTATTATCGTGAAGATAAAAGCTAAGTTTTCTGTTGTAGTTGTTCAGAGTTTCAATAGTTTAATACAAATATTTGACAACTTTTTAGAATTAACAAATTAATGATGCAAAATAGTTTTCCTCCTATATAAAATATTAATTTGATATGTTAGTAAATGTTGTGTATTTTTATTGGTCAGATCCACAGTATTGTTATGTTAGACCTGAGATACTGTTGGTCAGATGTACAGTGTTGTTATGTTAGACCTGAGATACTGTTGGTCAGATGTACAGTGTTGTTATGTTAGACCTGAGATACTGTTGGTAAGATGTACAGTATTGTTATGTTAGACCTGAGATACTGTTGGTAAGATGTACAGTATTGTTATGTTAGACCTGAGATACTGTTGGTAAGATGTACAGTGTTGTTATGTTAGACCTTAGATACTGTTGGTCGGATCTACAGTATTGTTATGTTAGACCTGAGATACTGTTGGTGGGATCTACAGTATTGTTATGTTAGACCTGAGATACTGTTGGTCAAATGTACAGTATTGTTATGTTAGACCTTAGATACTGTTGGTCGGATCTACAGTATTGTTATGTTAGACCTGAGATACTGTTGGTGGGATCTACAGTATTGTTATGTTAGACCTGAGATACTGTTGGTCAGATGTACAGTATTGTTATGTTAGACCTTAGATACTGTTGGTCGGATCTACAGTATTGTTATGTTAGACCTTAGATACTGTTGGTCAGATCTACAGTATTGTTATGTTAGACCTGAGATACTGTTGGTCAGATGTACAGTGTTGTTATGTTAGACCTGAGATACTGTTGGTAAGATGTACAGTATTGTTATGTTAGACCTTAGATACTGTTGGTGGGATCTACAGTATTGTTATGTTAGACCTGAGATACTGTTGGTCAGATGTACAGTATTGTTTATATTGTTATGTTAGACCTGAGATACTGTTGGTCAGATGTACAGTATTGTTTATATTGTTATGTTAGACCTGAGATACTGTTGGTCAGATGTACAGTGTTTATATTGTTATGTTAGACTTGAAATACTGTTCTCATATCCAGTTGTCTGAACTAGATTTGAATAAAAAAAGCAAGATTGTATTAAAACATTAATGTTTTTCTATTTGTTGAATATGTGTTGTACATTAGACAGTTCACCCATACATCTGTAACAAGTTATAAGTCAATGAAGAAAACAGGATCTTAATAAAATATGTAAATGGTATGCTGGTTATATGGTGTCTTGAAGACGTTTATATGCTTTTAATTTTTTTTTCCATTGTAGACACAATGTAAATGAAACAACAAAGCAGTGCAGTGAAACTACGTAAAAGTTACTAGTGGTATAATCGGCCTTCTCAGTGAAACTCTGTAAGGGTTACTAGTGGTATCATCGGCTTTCTCAGTGAAACTACGTAAAAGTTACTAGTGGTATCATCGGCCTTCTCAGTGAAACTACGTAAAAGTTACTAGTGGTATCATCGGCCTTCTCAGTGAAACTACGTAAAGGTTACTAGTGGTATCATCAGCCTTCTCAGTGAACCTCTGTAAGGGGTACTAGTGGTATCATTAGCCTTCTCAGTGAAACTCTGTAAGGGTTACTAGTGGTATCATTAGCCTTCTCAGTGAAACTCTGTAAGGGTTACTAGTGGTATTATCAGCCTTCTCAGTGAACCTCTAAGGGTTACTAGTGGTATTATCAGCCTTCTCAGTGGTTCCAAGTTTCTAAAGTAACCCGTGTATCAGTGGTTCCAAGTTTCTAAAGTAAACCTGTGTATCAGTGGTTCAAAGTTTCTAAAGTAACCCGTGTATCAGTGGTTCCAAGTTTCTAAAGTAACCCGTGTATCAGTGGTTCAAAGTTTCTAAATGGACACATACAGAGCAGTGTTGTAAAGTAACCTGTATATAAAACAAGTTTTGAATTTTAGGTTATTTAAATAGCGTAAGTTCCAGAAAATAAGAGTCTTCATTACAGGGTATAATTTATTGGAAGTTATATAAATATATATTTATTGTACTAATGTCTGTAAATACTCCACTCGAGGATTTATTTTGAAGGTGTATGTTATTTTTAACATCAATCCTTACTGGGTAACAGCTGCTAGATTAGAGGAATGTACTTTGAACCCTAAATTTATGTATGTGTGTACAACACCGTACACTGTAATGTTTTGTTCACAACGGAAAATCTTACTGTGATTTGTACATAGTCTTAACATAACATAATATTCTATTATTGTTTCTTTGTTTGCTTGTTGTTAAGTGCAAAGCACACGATGGGCTATCTGTGCTGTGCCAACTATGAATATTGAAACCCAATTTTTAATGGTGAGAGCCCTCAGACGTACTGTTCAACCACTGGGGGCTCAAATTCGATTAACAGCAATTTTATTATAAAAATATATTTTTTTATGATTAGTGAAGGAGAAATATTAAGGAAATATTTTTTTGTAAAATAATATATTTAATAAAACTTAAATTTAGCTATTGAAGGGCAGTTCAGATGTTTAATATGATATTTTTGTGTTTTATTAACTTTATTTATTGAAATTAGAAACACATCTAACCATTTTTGATATGTCAGTAAATCAATGATTAGTAATTAGGTTTCTGCTACTGAATTCAGGATATACAAAACTTGGAATGCTATTGTAATATTAGTTAACTTTTGAAATATTTAATGTTTGTTTAATTTTACATGATTGTTAAACAAGTTAGAACTTTATATCATGTTATTTTCTAAAGTATAAAATATATATCACAGAATGCTAATTTTCAGTATTATATTTATTGGCTATTGAATAGGATATTTTGAATGATGAAAAATAAAATAATCAACACTAGCTTTTGAAATACTATTTCATTTTTATAAAACATTTAATGTAAGGTTTTGACCACATACAGTAGAACTTGGACTTGTTTTTAAATCTAATTAATTTTTGTAAGTGATAAAACAGTGTTGGGAAATCATTGGAACATTTTATGTAAATCTGTTATGGTTTAAGTTTGGATGTCAACTGTAGTATTATAAATAAATAACTAAGTAATACCGCAAAGAACAACCAAGTTATAACATAATGAACAACCACATAATACCAGAAAGAGAAACGAAGTAACCCCCCTATTGTATAATAATTATAATACATTATATTTGCAATGAGGCAGTAGTACTTGGTTTATTGTGTTTTAAGTACTGTACTGTTTTATTTAATAAATCGTGTAAAGTAATTTGAAATGAATTTTTGAATAACAAATTTCTACAATTTCACGTGTCCTCTTCAGTGTAAGTAATAAGCTAGACTAAAGATGACACGTTGATTTCATTTTAGACTACACTGTTTATTTGGTATATTAAGTTTTTTTTAAGATGTCTACTAGTATTTTCACCACACTATATCCCTAACATCAATTGCAGCCGACGCGTTTCGCTCATTATCAGACCTCATCAAGCCGGATTGGGTAAAATAAAGGTAAGAGTTATTTACACAAGTCACATTTTATAATAACCACTTATTCTGGTGTGAACGAAATTTGCTGACAAAACGTAATTACACTCGGCCGTAAATAGATATTCATTTTAATTGCAATGAGTTTTTAGATCGTTTCGCCATCTAGTGGGAGATCTGAGTGATAGGTTTAATAATAATGTCATTATTTAATAATTGGCAAGTTACAAAAACCATTCTCTCTCTCTTGGGTTACTGGTTTGATAACGTCGTTACTAGCGCTGTTTTCGGGTATTTTCGTAGAGATTAAAAAATATTTACTATAATTTGTGGATGGTCCATTTTATGGCATAAGTGACGCTGTTAGTTTTAGATCAGAGATCAATGGTAGTAATGTTAGGGTTGATTAGTACTAGTAGGTAGTGTGTTGAAGAACAATTTGAGTAAAAAAATGTATCAAAAATTTGTAACATAATTGAGTAAAAGTTGCTTGTTTTTTAACAAAGTAACAGTTGAAAATGAAGTGTGTTAAATCGTTATTTGTTCGGCAGTTCATGTTAACTGGCTTTAGTATTACTGTTAGTGTTAGACTCAACCTGAGCACAAGATAAATTACGGACTAAAGAAAATAAGGTAAGTCACTTAATAGTAAACTAATTATTATTATAACTTAAGGTCATAGGCTTAACTTTGTTTACGTAACAATGTAAATGAATAGCGTTGTTTACGAGAACTATTCAGAATAGCATCAAATTAAAAATATCCTGTAAAATTATATATATATACTGCGAACCGTGGTGTCTGTCTCCTGTTTAGGAGGCCGCTTCCCGCGCTACGTTTGAAAAGCTACGCAAGCAGGCAAAGCTCGAGTTTCAGTTTTGAAATGACGGGAGAATAGGCATGAATAATGTTGATGCCTTTTTTTTTTTTTGCAAGCAGGATATTCTACACTAAACTGTTAGGAATTAATCACCCTATCATTCACATTTCAAAATATGACGCAACTTAAATAATATAAATGTACCGTATTTATTTACCGTACATTTACCGTATGTTATTGTTGAGTGGCTCTTAGCATGACCGAAATGCTTAACAATTACTTCTCGCGGTGGGCGGTATAAACTATAGTTATATAGTGTAACTTGTAAGTAGCTCTGAGTGAAACATAGAATTAACCTCAAAATAATTTATACTGATAGATTAACTTAAGCGGGTTAAAAATGAAATATATTATTAATTTTGTACGTTTCAAAACAAGGTCATTATTATAAGTAGGCTAAATATTGACTTTAATTTATAATTAATTAAATTTAGTTCTGTTTTAATTGTAAGGAAGTTTAAATAAACACGAAAAAAATACGTTAAAGAAGCCTAACCCGAACATAATATCACACCCATAAAATTGTATAACAATAACTTATTGAAGAAGCTATATAAATATTAAAAATGTTAGATTAGGCTTAGCAAGTGTTATCCGGCTGTAGCTTGTAAATCAAGAAAGTTGGTGAAACAGAAAATCAGGACATCAAAAAGGATATATGAGAAAAGGTTGGCTGAAAATGTAAAAATTAACAATAAGGATTTCTTTAAATACATTAAGGGTAAACAAAATGTTAGGACCCTTGAGGGATGATAAAGGAAGGCTAATATCTGATGATTATGAGATGACTGGATTATTAAATTTTGCCTTTTCTTCGGTTTTAACTAACGAATATTTGAGCAGTATTCCACATCTTGAGCCCCCCAGTGGCACAACGCTAGAATGCGGGTTTCGATACCCGTGGTGGACAGAACACAGATAGCCATTGTGTAGCTTTGTGCTTAATTACAAACAAACAATCCACATCTTGAACAGTTGATATATGAAAACAAGATGACTGTTTTAATTCTGTGCCAGATAATATTTCCTCAAGGGTTTTGAATGAGGTTAAAGATTGGTTATGTGAGCCACTTGCTACTATTGTTTGTTAGTCCTTGAATAGTGGGCAGGTACCAGAGGATTGGAAGTTAGCTAATGTAACTCTTCTTTTCAAGGGAGGTGATAAAAATTGTCCCAGTAATTATAGACCCATTAGTCTTACACCAGTTAAAAGTCTGTTAAAAGATGCTTTGCAAAGTCATTTAACAAAGTTTAGAATTTTATTGGATAGTCAACATGGTTTCACTAAGGGAAAAGGTTACTGCTTATGTTGATGAGGGTAATGGTGTAGATTTGGTGGATCTGGATTTTTAGAAAGCATTTGACAAGGTGTCACATAAAAGAAATATCTCTGTAGGTGTGGGGGATACGTTAGTAAATTGGATGGAGTTCAGTCAAACTGGATTAATGTCACAAGTGGGGTACCTCAGGTCTCAGTCTTAGGACCTTTGCTCTTCTTAATTTACATCAATGACATAGATGAAGAAATGGTCAATACATTACTTAAATTGGCAGATGATATTAAGTTTTGGTTGCTGATTTACAACAGGATTTAGAATGGTAAATAAATGGTGTTTAATTATAATAAATGCATGTGAGATATTGTTATGGAAGAAAGGGAACCTGGTGTTCTAGTTCATCATTATCTTAAGTTATCCAAACAATGTGCTTTTCCTTGTGGTAAAATACAGTTTTAAATAAAAAGGATAACAATACTTAATACATTGTTAATTATAACAGAAGGAGACACAGTTTCGGAATTCAACAGATTACATCTTCGGTATCTAAAGCAAAATAAAAGAATTACATCATTCCTAAGTAAGTAACAAAAATACATTACTATAATAACAGTAATTTAATCAAAACTACGTCAATATAAAAATTAAATTAGTAACAAATAAAAATACCTTTTTTTTAAATGTTTTTAGGACGTGTGTAATGTTCAATATTAAAACTCAAAATTTTAAAAAACAACTTTTATTTTATACACAATTCTATAAAAATGAGATTGTTTCCAGTCTCCAAATTACTAAAATACAATAACTTTTACTGTACAGGATAAAAAGTGGTAAAATACCCCAATGAAACTGGAAAACAATCTCATACACTCTACATGTTTCAACGTATACTACTGCGTCATCCTCAGGAGTGTAATGTTTTGCAACAAATAACACTTATTTGTACAATTATCAAAACACCAATTTACATATTAAAGAATTTCATGCCATCTACCATTTCCATCATCGTTATTCAATAATTTAAATTTACTTTTATTTACATTTAATTATCTCAATAGACAATATCAACCGGTGCCAATGAGGTCTTTCACCCAATACCAGGACTCATCAGGCCAACTGGGATTACAACAGACGTACGAGCTCCTATTGTAATCCCTAATACTGGGGAGTAAAGCCTTGTTGGACACACTACATGTTTCAGTGGTAGTCATGTTGGACACTACATGTTAATGATCTAACAGATGCATGTACAAGATTTAAATAATTTTCATAATTAGCCTGTCTGATACAGCCTTTACATTTAAAAAAATAATTTCTATAAAATACCACACTAAAAATTTCCATGGTATTTAAATAGTGAATCTAATTAACCAAGTGAACATCATGTTAGTTGACAGAATGAAGGGAGCACACTAAATGCTAACTTTTTATCAGTCTAAGGTAAGTTAAACCACTTCTAAATGGAGTTTTAAAAATACCACACTTATCATCATCTTCTGTCAATAACAACATTTAACTTATGATGGCAAGAAAACACACTACAAAAGATATGTTTATCTGTACTTGTTTTGAACCAGTATAGACAATATTAACAGACTACAAAAGATGTGTGTATCCTTTTGTAGTCTGTTAATATTGTCTATACTGGTATAAAACAAGTACAAATGAACATATCTTTTGTAGTCTGTTAATATTGTCTATACTGGTTCAAAACAAGTACAGATACACACATCTTTTGTAGTCTGTTAATATTGTCTATACTGGTTCAAAACAAGTACAGATACACACATCTTTTTTAGTCTGTTAATATTGTCTATACTGGTTCAAAACAAGTACAGATAAACATGTGTTTTGTAGTCTGTTAATATTGTCTATACTGGTTCATAACAAGTACAGATAAACATATCTTTTGTAGTCTGTTAATATTGTCTATACTGGTTCATAACAAGTACAGATAAACATATCTTTTGTAGTCTGTTAATATTGTCTATACTGGT